GTTGATGCAATCAAGACAGTTAGATAGATGTCAAACATATACTGTTAAATACATAAATGACCATCACAGTCCGATACAAGTTTCGTTACAAGAAACAAATGTCTTCACTTACCTGCATAGGCAACAACAGTGATGAGAAGTAACACCTTCATATGGAACATATTGAAGAAGTAAATATTTTAAGATTTTAGCTCATATTTATATACATCTTTACAGCTTCCAGATGTTGCTTTCTCAATCTTACAAGAATAACACTTTTAATAGTCACTTAACTAATAAATTAAATTTTAATAAATTATAAAATATAAATCTTACAATAGCTGAAACAAACGTGATGGGAAAAACGACATCTGTGCCTTTGACCTATTATGACCTCTTACGTCAAGTACCTTTATTGTTAAAGTTACTATAGAAAAGCACGCAAGAACGAAAGATTTATAATTGTCCCCATTGTCATCACATGACTTCACATGACCTTTGTCGATTAATAGGTTATTGTTTTTTTTTAGGTTCACGTTCACTTAAAGAGCTATTATTCATAATGCGGCATCAGTGGTTTCAAATGTCAAATTTTCTATAAAGCGAATGTTGATTTTTTTCAAGTTTAAATTTTCTCTACTGTGTATCCAAATTGTTAGCAATGTATTGTCTCATATGTAAGAGAAAGGAAATAGCACTATTTTCAGTCTAGTATGTATCATATATCTTGATTTCGAGTTGTTCATAAATTTTTCAAAGCTTCGGAAAACTCCAATGTTAACAAAGACTATCCTGATTTTTAGTAGAAATGGTAAAAAACTTACCTTTGGGAAATCTCTCAGGAAGTATATTCTTAACGTTACATTGTTGTACTTGAAAAATGCAACATAATCTGGTGATGAATGTGGATATTTAATATACAAGAAATAAAAAACTAGTTTGGATATTTTTCCTTTCTTTCAGAAGGTCCTCAATGATTTCTGGATAGCCTTAATTTGAATTATGAAGATTCTGAAATATTTTAGGAATCCTTAAATACAATAATGTTGACTTAATCCGCACCTCATAACATCGGTGTACAAGATATGAAGTGAGCAGGTCTTCTACCTTCTAATAGGGAATGACTGTTCCATTGACTTCTAAATGAAAGTGTTGAGTTGAAGCAAGTTTAACAGCGCACCAAACTGACATGGTTGTCTATTTTAACATCATGCATAGCCAAACGGATGCTCCTCGACAAGATTAGATGTAAAAGCTTTGTCAGTCTAAAAAATATGGCATACTCATTATACATGTATTTATGGTAACGCATTTTAACAGTTTGAATGTACTTGCGTATTATCCAGACAAGAAAGAGGGGGAGTCTCATATTAAAACTCCATCCTTGTTTTAGTTTTTTGTTAGTCTCAATTGTATTGTATCAGTTCATTTACATTTAAATAACAATTACCAAACTAGGAAGCAAATTGACACAAGAGTGCACACGATGAAATGTTTCGCCTGCTTTAAAGATCGTTGAATTTATGTTGAAAGTCTTAAAGATAAAGGTTTAACTACAAGTATCACATAAATTAACATTTAAAAAAATCCATGACAATGAGGTCAAGGTCAGATAAAACCTGTCAGACAGATATGTACACCTTACAATTATTCCATACACCAAATATAGTTGACCTTTTGCTTATGGTAATTAAAAAAACAGACCAACACACAAAAACTTAACTTTGACCGATGAACCATGAAAATGAGGTCAAGGTCAGATTATACATGCCAGACAGACATGTACACCTTACAATCATTCAATACACATAATATAGTTGACCTACTGCTAATAGTATTTGAAAAACAGATCAAAACACTAAAAACTTAGAATTGACCAATGAACCAAAGAAAATGAGGCCAAGGTCAGATGATACCTGCCAGACAGACACGTACACCATACAATCATTCTTACACCAAATATAGTTGACATGTTGCTTATAGTACTTGAAAACAGACCAAAACACAAAAACTTAACATTGACCAATGATCCATTAAAATTATGTCTAGGTAAATGGACATATGACAGACGGAAATTTCGTTACATAGGTTATCTGCATACAAGGTATGAAGCATCCAGGTCTTCTGCCTTTTGAAGTATAAACTTTTATACAAATATGTTACGCCACCGCCGGATTGTAATCCCAATGTCTCGTATACTGTGACTTTCGTTGCAGGCGAGATTAAAACTAGTGCCATGTGTATAATAACTCTAACGATAAACACATTTTTTGTCAGAGTTCATTTGTGCACATGGAAAGTACTTGGAATTTTATTTCAGAGAAAGTAGATGAAGTGGCCAACGTATATACAAGTATCTTGGCATAGGGACTGATAAATAGTACACTTTGAAACAAACAAAAAAATCTCTGAAACTGACATTATCAAGATGCTTGATTTCTTGATTGAAAACATATTTGTTACGTTTTGATGAACGTTTTTCAACAAACAATCGACGTTCGTATTGGAATCAACTGTGCTCCTTGTCTTGCCGACTTGTTCCTTTATTCATATGAGGCTGACTTCAATAAGAATGAAAAGAAGCTATCATTATCCTTTAATTTCATTTTCCGCTATATTGATGATGTCCTCTCATTACAGATGATAGCAAATATGTTCCAATTGTCGTAACCACAATCCCGTCCTCTTTTCCTCGATTGTGGCCTACCGAATTAGACATATCACTAGATTTGTACTTTTATGAGCAAAACGACTGGTTCCACATGTGGAGCATGATTTGTTACTCTTCTAGAGCGCTTGAGATCATCCCCAGTTTTTCGTGGGGTTCGTGTTGCTCAGACTTTAGTTCTACATTGAGTTTTGTATATCGTTGTTTTCTGACCATTTTTCTGTTTAAGACATTTGTCATTTGCTTTCGACTTTTGAGCTTGAATGTCCCTTTGGTATATTCCCTCTCTCTTAAATGAGAATTTAAAGTTCCAATCTTTCTAAAAGTTTGCAATGACAGTTCAAGTTGATATGAACCATAAACCCTGAAACCATTACAAAAACAAATCTGCTCAAAGAAATTCATGCATCATCAGCAATGTATAATTTCAGAGATAAAAAAGAGTTGCTTACATTCCTGAAACACAGGAAACGACTTTAGCTATATATTGAATTGATATCGATAGGAAAGGCATGGGAAATTAATCAATACACTCAGAAACTCACTTCACTGAACAATATAATGTTAACGCAGTTCGCAGTTAATATTAATTTAAGGAGGATATAGAATTATGTAAAAACACTTGAGTAATACAAAATTAATATGCTGTGGCACTGATCTTCTCTGTATTCTATATCTTTTATCAATAGAAAAACAAAGATGATGAAGGTGTTGTCACTCACTCATTATTTGAAGTACCAGGAGGGGGAAGTAGGTATCTGACAGATCTAATCAGTACTCACACATTAAAAGTCATCACTGTCAAGCTTCAGACTAGATATGAAGTAATTCTGTTTAGTAGTACTAGAACTTTTTTTTACTGTTGTTTGCTTAATGTCAAGTGGAAAATATTGCATGCAGATTCAAGACAAGAACTATTGACTATTAATACAATAAGAAGGTTCTGATAATTGGTTGACTGTTGTTTGCTTAATGTCCAGTGGCAAATATTGCAATCATATTCCAGACAAAATAAGTGACTATTAATACAATAGGAAGGTTCTGTTAATTAGGTGGACCATGATAAAAGCCTAGAATTTTGACTGCCACTGGAAAATGAGGGTATATTGGATAGCCTTGCAATTTATGGGTCACCTTGGGGTCGCTCTAAGAATTGTTTTAAGATTTTCAAATGTCCAGAGAGTGTAGTACTCTCTCCAACAGAAGCATCAGAGTTCTACTGGAGAAAAATGTGACGAGAATGTAAAGTTCAATCAACATATTAAAACTTCCAAGTATGAGCAAATAGGAAGTAGATACCTTGAAAAAACTAAAAGCCTTCACATGTCACAACTCATCACTGTCCAGTTGACACAATATGAAGTCATTCTGTTCAGATATACTGTAGAACAGTGTGATAAAACTATTTGTAGGACAGAGAAAGGACAAATTGATGGAAAGAAAGAAAAATTTATTTTCAATATAGACCTACTCCTAGAGTTTGGGTATATTATTTTGGTGATAGAATCCGATCAATATTTTCCAAATAAAGTTACTTCCACCTCTGAAATACATCGAACTTCAATTTTCACTTCATTCTGAGTTAATAATGTACCTAAGAAGTTATCAAAATTGTCTAATGAACAAGCAGTAACTAATAACTTGTTTGGTTTACTTGAAATGTTAAAAATATTTTATAGTTTTTAGAAGGGATTGAAAACAGTTTTGATTTAAGAGACCAAATTACAGCCGTTCTTGCCTCCAACTTTATTGAAGTTTCTGAGATAGTGGTTAAAGTAATCCTGTATATTCCAGTCTTTTTTACAACATTATTTTCTTGTTTAAAAATACATTGAATCTTCTTCATTGTTTAATTGTCACAACATAGACTAAATAATAAAAATAGATATGGACAATGCCTCCCTCTGCTCTGTCGTTTGTATTATTATAGTTCCACATACTTTAGATTTGACAAACAGTGATGTTGAAGTAAAACTTCAAGTTGTTGCACTGCTGTAAGACACAAATGATGCCACGCCTAACCATAAGAAATTACACGTATAAATTTAACACTATGTTTGATGATCTATCTTTTTATTTTTATTCTGAGTACAAAAAAAAATAAAAAGTTCAAATACCTGGCATTTTGAGAATATTTGAAAAAGATCAAAATCCTGTGGACATGCTTACGTCTATTATGTGTAGAACCATCCTACAAAATACTAAAGCTGTAGCTCAAAACTGTAGGAGGAGATAGCCGGACATATTGTATCTATATCTGGACGTAATAATAAACAGACGAACGGACAGACAGACAAGGGTAAATTAATATGCCCCTCAACATTTTGTCGCGGGGGCATAAAAATAGACATAATTTATTTCCATATTTAATAACTGGTATCAAAATAAAACAATGATGGATGAATATCTTATCACATATGAAATGTTATCATAAATTCATTCAATTCTACTGTGGATTCATTATTATTCTTTGAATACCAATTTTCGTGGGTTTTGTGTGTACAAGTGAACCACAAATTCAAATCTTCAATGAATTACAAACATTCTATAGGCTTTGTATGCAGGGATTGACAAAACCACGAAATCAAATATCCACGAAAATGCAAGTTTTCCTCAATCCACGAAAAAATTATACCCACGAAAATAAATGAATCCACAGTATGTGAATCTTTACAATAAAGGCAACAATGTTTCTTGAGATTCATCTAAGTATATGAATAAAGAGATATTTACATGTATATATAGGATATAATGTCTTGAGGCTAATTTTACTTGGCACCAGACAATTCCATAAAGGGGTCTGCTTTAACATTTTGATTCAAATTGGAAAAGGAATATCCTCAAAGATAAAAATGGTTAAATTTGTGTAAAAATCAATGTGTCATAGTTAACCTATTCATGACTGATTGAATAATTATATAGACTTTCATTCATCAAAATTGGAAAATAACATTTTATAATTATTTCCACATGATCTAAAAGAAAACTAATACCAATTGGTAGTTGTTTGAATGTTTTATAAGATTGACTGGAAAGGAAATCCTCAAATTATTTAAAAAAAAAAAAAAATGTTTAAACATTTTTACATTTTGTTTCGTTTTTTAATAATCTATGTATATATGCATTCACACCATTATCATGAAATATACCAACATGTTGTAAAAAACTAGCTATGCTGTTTTCAAATTTACTCTGTATCTACATATGTCATATTCATAGTAAATAGTGACCTGTATAGACCAATTTCAAATTATTAATTAGAATTTTCAGTAAAGGGAGACAACTTTCAAGAGGACATACTTTTCCATGTTACAGATTATTCCAACAAAATGGATGTTGGAGAGTCCCCCCAGTCAGCATTCCTTTTTTGAGTAATTTTGTTAACAACAAATGGACATACATGCATAAATCATCCACAACCCATGTCAAAAAATAAAACTTCCCTTCCTCATATATTTGTTTAATTGGAATAGCCTTAATCAAAAGTGTATGGAAGGAGCATGTTTGATGTACCTAAGCCGTTGAACAATATTTCTTTTCTATAACTACCAATTTTGCAAACCCCTTTTTAACATAAATATTTAATGCACTTACATTGTCAAAATCATATTCATGCTGGTGACACTTGCTTTGTATATAGAGGGCTTCTTAGAAGCTGTTTCCATTGACCAATAAAATGCTTCGCAGGGAGCAGCTTGATATGACCACAGAGATTAAACCCTGAACAGTTGGGGCAAGTATGGACACAACATTCAAGCTTGATACAGCTCTGAATTTGGATTGTGATTAAATATTTGACACAGCATAGGTTTCTGATACAGAATGAATTTGGTCTAAGAACTTAAAAATTTGAAATTGGACATTTATCTATTATGGTCCAATATCAAAAATCTAGATACATGATCAAAGAACACCACAAAATTAATTTATTTACTTATTAATGGACAATATTAGCTAAGTTTTTAAAGGGGTTCGCTTCATCAAATAAAAAAAAATATATATAGCATTGTGAAAATTAGACCAGTTGTTTCTAAGCAGCAATAGTTCACTTGATACTTTGGCCTTCTCAGCTAAACAGAGAGCAGAACTGTTCCTGTTTTTTTCCCAATTTTATACAAAATATGCAAACAATTCATCTTCAATACAATGCAAAGGTGCTAAATAAAAAAGACAATATAATAATTAAAAAAAGCCAAACATTTGACTAGATATTACAAAACAAAGTAATTTGCAAAAATAATTTACATTGACTACAACCTTTGTTTTCAATTTCTTTTTCATTTAATAGTAAACAAAACCATTAAAATAGTTGATTCTTTCTAAGCCCTAAACTTTGATTCTATCAAGTGTTTTTTGGAAGAAAATCTCTCAAGTAAACAATGCTTTGGTATGAAAACCTCTCAAGTAAACAATGCTTTGGTATGAAAACCTCTCAAGTAAACAATGCTTTGGTATGAAAAAGAACACAAGAGTGCACACGCTGAAATGTCTCGCCTTCTTTACTAATCATTGATATTATGTTGATAGTCCTAAATATAAAGCTTTATTACAACTGTCACATAAACTTAACATTAACCAAGTAAACTAAACATTGACCAATGAACCATGAAAATGAGGTCAAGGTCAGATGAACCATGCTAGGCAGGCATGTACAGCTAACAATTCTTCCATACAACAAATAGAGTTGACCTATTGCTTATAGTTTAAGAAAAACAGACCAAAACACAAAAACTTAACACTGAGCAATGAACCTTGAAAATGAGGTCAAGGTCAAATAAAACCTGCGTGACTGCCAAATAGATCATAAAATATTTCCATACACCAAATATAGTTGAACTATTGCATATAGTATAAGAAAAACAGACCAAAACACAAAAACTTAACTATAACCACTGAACCATGAAAATGAGGTCAAGGTCAGATGACACCTGCCAGTTGGACATGTACACCTTACAGTCCTTCCATACACCAAATATACTAGACCTATTGCTTATAGTATCTGAGATATGGACTTGACCACCAAAACTTAACCTTGTTCATCATTGATCCATGAAATGAGGTCGAGGTCAAGTGAAAACTGTCTGAAGGGCATGAGGACCTTGCAAGGTACGCACATACCAAATATAGTTGAACTATTGCACATTGTATTAGAAAAAAAGACCAAAACTCAAAAACTTAACTTTGACCACTGAACCATGAAAATAAGGTCAAGGTCAGATGACACCTGCCCGCTAGACATGTACACCTTACAATCATTCCATACACCAAATATAGTAGACCTATGGCATACAGTATAAGAAAAACAGACCAAAACACAAAAACTTAACTATAACCACTGAACCATGAAAATGAGGTCAAGGTCAGATGACACCTGCCAGTTGGACATGTACACCTTACAGTCCTTCCATACACCGAATATACTAGACCTATTGCTTATAGTATCTGAGATATGGACTTGACCACCAAAACTTAACCTTGTTCATTGATCCATGAAATGAGGTCGAGGTCAAGTGAAAACTGTCTGACGGGCATGAGGACCTTGCAAGGTACGCACATACCAAATATAGTTGAACTATTGCACATAGTATTAGAAAAAAAGACCAAAACTCAAACTTAACTTTGACCACTGAACCATGAAAATGAGGTCAAGGTCAGATGACACCTGCCCGCTAGACATGTACACCTTACAATCATTCCATACACCAAATATAGTAGACCTATGGCATACAGTATAAGAAATACAGACCAAAACACAAAAACTTAACTATAACCACTGAACCATGAAAATGAGGCCAAGGTCAGATGACACCTGCCAGTTGGACATGTACACCTTACAGTCCTTCCATACACCGAATATACTAGACCTATTGTTTATAGTATCTGAGATATGGACTTGACCACCAAAACTTAACCTTGTTCACTGATCCATGAAATGAGGTCGAGGTCAAGTGAAAACTGTCTGACGGGCATGAGGACCTTGCAAGGTACGCACATACCAAATATAGTTATCTTATTACTTATAATAAGAGAGAATCCAACATTACAAAAAATCTTAACTTTTTTTTCAAGTAGTCACTGAACCATGAAAATGAGGTCAAGGACATTGGACATGTGACTGACGGAAACTTCGTAACATGAGGCATCCATATACAAAGTATGAAGCATCCAGACCTTCCACCTTCTAAAATATAAAGCTTTTAAGAAGTTAGCTAACGCCGCCGCCGCCGGATTGCTATCCCTATGTCGAGCTTTCTGCGACAAAAGTCGCAGGCTCGACAAAAATAAAAACCATGCACAATAATTTTATATATAGTTCAGAACTTGTTCGTGTTTTGCAGGAATAAATAGATAAACTAGTAATTCCAAACATATTACTGCTTTCATTTGATATCATAAAATCCCAAATTATAAAATAGGCCAGTATGTATATATATACATATAAATTGACAAAAAACAATAAAAGAGATACTCTGTATTATTGCAGCATATCTATTAGGTTTTTTACTGTGTCCTTTTTCTCATTAATTTTATCCCAGTCAACATTGAAGAAACTGATAACATGTAATTACATATATATGACATTAAGACATAACCAGATGCTGAAATTTCTCAAGATAGAATACTAGTTTACCCACTTCTTTCAACGTGTATATGTTACAGTGGGGGGTATTCAAATTTCAAACTCATCATGTATAAACTGATAAACTTATAAATAGCTTTATTCATGATTTTATTCACTTGATAAATTTCCTGAACTGCTTTTAAAACATTCAACAAGGAAATATAAGGGGTCAAATATGTGAAATCATACAAAATAATAGTCACAATATAATTCAATCATTACGACTTTCAGGGCATAATCACGATAATTTCCTGTAAATTCAAACTCCCGTTTAAATAGAAAGAAAAAGTAAACCTCCCTTTCCTACAATATGGCACTGCCTGTCTGATGTTAACATGTAACAAATAGATGATAATTTGTTTGGCTATCCTATGATCCATTTGTATGATTTTTATTTTCTGTCAATATGTTTGTTAGACCTTTTTCAGTCACTGAGGCACTATTAATCTTGCAAAAATATCAATGAATACAATTTTACTATATAATATATATTCATATTATTTACCTTCTTCAGCATGTACATGTATAGATAAAAAATAAATGGGGAATGTCCATGGGACACAGATGATGCCCCCACTTGCATATAATGTTATAAAGGGACATAACTCAAGAACTGTAAAAGTGACGCTACCCAAATTTGTACTTGATCAGAGTTTTGTGGTAATTAGCATTGTGTATACGTTTCATAACATTTAAACAAAAAATCCAGCAATTTTTCCATTTGTAAAGGGGCATAACTTTAGAACGATAAAAGTGATGCCACCAAAGTTCAAACTTGATCTGTTTTTTGTAGTAATAAGCATTGTGTATAAGTTTCATAACATTTGGTTGAGGCAAACTAAAGTTAGAGAATGGAAACCAATTTTGGGACGTACAGACAGATAAGGGTAAAACTTAATGCCCACTCCGCTACTGCGGGGGCATAAAAACCTAAACACTGTAAAAAAGATAAGAAGTTAACAATTCTTCTAATGCTGATAACATTTAAAATAACATATGATGCATATTGCCTCATTTTCCTATAAATTCATAAACAGATGAATTTGTACATCTTTTGTTTGTTTGGCCTCAACTAAGTATTTTTTAACTAAAATGATAATTACTAAATCTTCAAAATTCAATTAAATATTCAGGATAGCATTGAGCACTATCAAATACTACAAATATGGAAGGTCTAGATGGATTGTCGCTGGCTGAATTGTACAGCCTGTTCTGTTCATCACGTGGAGGTTTACGCATACCATGTTGTCCTTGACATGGCCTTCCCACTAAAACACGTGCTAGAAACATATATCTGCTCGTGGTCTGAATAAATTGTTCCTCGATTGGAATATCTTCTGATTGACGAGAAGTATTATCCTCTTGGCCTGTATTATTTACGGTAGCATTTGCAAAATTTACAGGTTGTGCTCCAAAATTGAAAACAGGGCCAGTGAAGTTGTTAGCTGCCCCAAAAGTAGCAGCAGGGGCTGCACTACCAAATCCAAACCCAGGTGGATGAGTAGTTGGGATGATTGGAGTCTGTGATTGTGTAAATCCAATATTCTGAGAATGATTAAAAGGTCCTTGTGCAAAGTTTGAACCACTAGTTTGATTATTTAAGGTTCCACCAAATAATCCTGAGAAATTATTATTTGTAGCTGCTGTTCCGAATCCGAATCCTTGATTGCGATTGCTGTTAAGTCTTATTAACACAGGTGAGTTTACTCCAATAGAAAAACCTTGTGTAAAGGGTAATGGAATTGCATTATTACCTCCAAATGAAGGATGTCGGTTAGCACTTCCCAAAGTGAAACCTTTACGCTGTGCTGACTTTATACGTCTGATTGATCCGATATTACAATACCTTTCTGAATAACTTGACTCTGCTGCGAAGTAAGTCCCTAAAATATACCAATACAATATATAAGCATTGCTATGATACAAATTGTTTGTCCATCACTTGTGAGCTCAGTAAGATGTTGAAAATGGTATTCCTTTTATTTGTATAATTTTGAGAAGATATACAAACTACATAGCATACTGAAAATTCAGATATTTCGAGGTTTATATATATTAATGTGTATAATGCGAATGGGTGAGAATCGCAATGATAAGAACTCACATTCTTACATGTGATACATAAAACTATGTGAAGATATTCCTGAAATTGCAATAATTAATCTCGCATTTTTGTCCAATCTTCAAAAATCGCAATAATAAATGCACACAATAGTTTCTGAATTTACAGTTCCTATTTCTTGCCTTCCATTATATTCCTTGTAACCAAGACAGAAGTCAGTGTGACAAGTTCTGTCCTCCTACATTTCTTACAATGGAGAAATTAGATGCTGGGTGACTTGGGTCTAATCATTCTAAATATTTATACTTCATACAATTACCTCTTCTTAACCCTAGTACTGCCAGCTATAAATAGATTATCAGTTCACTGCAGTGCCATGATGCTAGTTAGCCTCTGCATCTCACTGTGCCGAGTTGTTTTAGAGAAATTTATCAGTGTAACACATGTAATTGTTTTATCAATTTTCTATGATTTTTGAACATTTTAGAAAGTAACATTAAAAGAGTTTGTTTTGCAGAATTGAATGCAGAATTTCACAGTATAAAATAAGTGACAGTGGATTATTAATTTATTTAGATATAGCAAATGAAAGTCGAAAAATTACGTTTCTATTTATTTGGTTTTTAAAAATATTTGTAAATCTCATTTAATTAGCAAAAAAACCAAATAATATATTTTATTATTTCATGACAAACTGCTTCATGTCAACCCCGTTGACATTGTTCAATAATTTAAACCACGAGTGTGAATTTTCCTTGTAAATTGTTATTTTACTTTTCAATATTGTTGCCCTTGCTCCGACTCAAAAGTCTAGTATGCATCCATTTGGTTCTTCAACTAAGTTTTTTATGAAATCTTAATTAATAATTATAAACGTAAGCTATCTTTTATCTCTGTATTTTCTCCAACATCAAAGTCTAACTTCCTTTCAGAATTAAAAGCGAGATCACATGTATCCAGGTTTCTACTTATCCTAAAACGGCGCTATTTTTTTGTCCTTTTCTAGATTATCCTCATTAAAACCTATAAATTCTTCGTCCGAATCATCTTGTAGAAATATTTATCTTTCAAAATCACGAGTTTCATGGTCTACTTCCTATTAAAACGTGTCCCCATCCGCTACTTTTACAAATACTTCCATTGTTTCATACTCGAATGTAAACAAAATATGGGTTCAATTTTGTCATCAAAATAATTTTGGAATGGAATGCAGGAAGCAACCAATGAAAACATCTTTCTACAGGGAAATCCTTCTTCTGATGTAATATCAACTTAAAAAATAAAAATATCTGTGTGATTTGATTGGCTAGAACTCGAAAGTCAATATAGCGACGACCAGCACTGAATGAACCTACCAGAAGTTATCAATATATCGACGACCGGCAGTACAGTAAAGTTATATGGGCCATCACTATATCGACGTCCTGCAGTACTAGGGTTAACCTTTTCTAATGCTCACCAAAATATTTGTTTAACAACGGAAGAACAAACAGACCCATACTTAATTGACAAGGTGAATGAAATATAACCCCACTTCTGTTGATTCACTTTTATTCTTTGGTACCAATTGTCATGGATTTATGGAAAATTGTATTTTCCTGGAATTTTGTTATGTTAAGTTTGTATACAAGCCAATAGACAATTTATACTTCATTGTACATTTATCAGGAAATCAACTAAAATTGGTACTCAAGAAACACATAAACAAACAGAGAGATTTCCCAATGCATAAAAAAAAATTAACATTAAATTCCCCTTACAAAAAAAGTCAGAACATGACTTCAATACTGCTGAGACAAGTAGACTATGATATTTATCCTTCAGAGAACAACACAATTGAGGTAGAAATAACAAAGGATAGAGGGACATACTGTCATGCTAGAGGTCATAGAGGTCTATGGTTGTTGACTCTCCTGTTCACCTGTTAAAACCTTCCAGTAACTGTGGTGATGAAGAACAGCAATCAAAGTGCTATTCCTTTGCTATTTGCCTACAATTCACAGATTCATTATTTAATGTACAAACAGCTACTTCACTTCTTACTCTTCATGTTTATGACAGTATTTGTCATTTCATAATATAACTGTAAAACTTGATTATATTGATCAGCATTGCAATAACTTATACAATAATCTGCCTTCTTAGTTCAATAAAAAGGTTTGAATTTTTATCTAATAAAAAAATAGGTGACAGAATGGGAATGAGGAAGGACTTTCTGGTTGGTCTAGCTTGAAAATGGATAGGTTACGTGCATTGGTGAGCAATCTACTAGCTTCTTATGTGCCACATGTGGAGCAAGACTTGCTTACCCTTTTGGAGCACCTGAAATCACCCCCCCCCCTTCCTCACTTAATCAGAAAATTGTTAGTCTAGTCTATCTTTAATATGTACAGGACTCATTTTAGTGAAAATTATAATTATTTTGTTCTGCGCTACACATAAATTGATAATAAGTATCACTGAGAGCAATAGAAAATCGAAACATTCTGAAAAACATGTCCACTTAGTGAACATGGTGTAAGTCTTCAAAAGATTCACAAATCCTTATATCTTTAAATAAACAGCTGCGCCATGAGCGCATGATACGCCCGTCGTCTTGTGTGTGAATTTTTATGCAATAAGCATAAATAGTTTCTGACATACGGTGTGACATGCGAAAACCCCCTTTTTTTTTTTACAAAAAACTCAATATCTCTAAAATAAAATTTTGAATCAAAACCAAAAAGTATACAGATCTTTAGATTAATATAACTAAGAAGTGTGTAAAATTTTAAGCAATAATCATAAATCGTTTTTGAGATACGGCGCGACATGTGAAAACCCTCCCTTTTAAAAAAAAAAACCAATATCTCAAAAATAAAATTTTGAATCAAAACCAAAAAGTATACAGATCTTTAGATTAATATAACTAAGAAGTGTGTAAAATTTTAAGCAATAATCATAAATCGTTTTTGAGATACGGCGCGACATGTGAAAAACCCCTCCCCCTTTTTTTACAAAATACTCAATAACTCAAATATAAAATTTTGAATCATCACCAAAAAGTATACAGATTTTTAGGTTAATATAACTAAGAAGTGTGTAAAGTTTTAAGCAATAATCATAAACCGTTTTTGAGATACGGCGGGACATGTGAAAAACCCCTCCCCCTTTTTTAACAAAATACTCAATATCTTTAAAATAAAATTTTGAATCATCACCAAAAAGTATACAGATCTTAAGATTAATATAACTAAAAAGTGTGTAAAGTTTTAAGCAATAATCATAAATTGTTTTTGAGATACGGCGCGACATGTGAAAAAAAACACACACCTGTTTTAGTTACTAAGTCCCGTAACTCAAAAAGTTTTAATCTTATTTTCACCAAAAAGTATAAAGATCGTTTGACCATCATAAGAAACAACTATGTTAAGTTTCATGAAATTTGGATAAGTCATTCTCAAGTTACGGTGTGACATGTTTACGCCGGACAGACAGACAGACGGACGCCGGACATTTGTATACCAGAATACGTCCCGTCAAAAATTTGACAGGCGTATAAATAAACTGCTTCGCTGAGCGCAGCTAGATACGCCCGCAGAGGTCCAACCCTGAACAGTTGGGGCAAAAATGGACACAATATTCAAGCTTGATTCAGGTCTGAATTTGGATTGTAATTAAATATTTGACATATTATAGGTTTCTGAATAAATGTAGTCAAAGAACTTGAAATTGGTTATATGAATTGAATTTATATTCAATTAAAGATTTCTTGCTGTTGTGCAATACTTAGTATATCTGTTGTCAGACTATAAACAAATAAAGTTCAATTAATTCTCAATGTCATATTAGAAATTTATGAAAATAAAAAGGGAGCTTACATCAATAGATATAAACAATTCACCAAAGTTTCCTGAGAATTGGTGACAGCATTTTTGAGTTATTGTCCGAAAACTGGAAAATCACCCCTTTTTTTAATGAATAAAACCCCATAACTCAGAAATGTAAAATTTAAAATTTATAAAATTCTAAAGGGAGCTTACATCAATACATGCAAACAATTCACCAAAGTTTCATAAGAATTGCTGAAAGCATTTTTGAGTTTTTGTCCGAAAACTGGAAAATCCCCCCTTTTTTTATGAATAAAACCCTGTAACTTGGAAACGTAAAATCTAAAATTTATAAAAATCGAAAGGGAGCTCATGTCAAAAGATATAAACAATTCACCACAATTTCTTGCAAGTTGGTGAAAGCATTCTTGACTTATTGTCCGAAAACTGGAAAATCCCCCTTTTTTTAATGAATAAAACCCCATAACTCAGAAATGTAAAATTTAAAATTTATAAAATTCTAAAAGGAGCTTACATCAATACATGCAAACAATTCACCAAAGTTTCATAAGAATTGCTGAAAGCATTTTTGAGTTTTTGTCCGAAAACTGGAAAATCCCCCCTTTTTTTATGAATAAAACCCTGTAACTTGGAAACGTAAAATCTAAAATTTTATAAAAAACGAAAGGGAGCGCACGTCAATAGATATAAACAATTCACCAAAGTTTTATGCAAATTGGGGAAAGCATTTTTGAGTTAATGTCCGACATGTTGACGACGGACAGACGGACGGACAGACGGACAACGGTATACCATAATACGTCCCGTAAACGGGCGTATAAAAAGCATGATAAGAGTCTTTTGACATTATTGATGATTTTGAGGTATGAATGGTCTTTCAGAAAATGATGATGATGGCGGTTATTAACGACCTTGACTGGCTGTAATGCCCTCGCACGGTCGGTATAAAATACCAATTATTTGGTGAAAATCAGAATTTACAACAAAATTCCCTTTAAAATGTTACTTTTCAAAACTTCTTGACAGTATTAACTTCAGTTGAGTATTCAAAGTTTTTGAAACATTTTGTATATTTCTTTTCAGTGTTTCTTTATGCAGGGAACATAGACCTGTCCCTTGTTAACAAAATATCCATTCCACACTAATCACACTGACGCATAACTGAAAAGCTGGACTACATAAATTGAGTTTAATATCATACCTTGGCCAAAAGCAGTGCCGTTCAAACCACACATTCTCCAGTCTAGGCCATCACGACATATACCCCCTACTGCTGATGTGTCTGTTCCATGGAAAAGATGCTGCTCATTTATATTATCTTTTCCTATGTCTTCTATCATGTGCTCTTTTTGTCTTGAAAATAACAATGAAGTTCACAAATATTTAACATGTGCATTTACTACAATACCACATTAACCTTGTTAAGGAACAAGCAATATTGTTTTGTAAGTTTAGAGGAAGTAGTAATTTTTTTAAAACATGAAAAATTAAAATTTTTAGTGTAACTTCATCAATTAATGTCAATTACATTTAAAATGAAACAAACAAACACAAAATTTTCCTTAATATATCCAAGTCAATTGAACTCTGGTGGAGAATTAGTAATCATACCATATCTACTTATTTTCATATCAATAATAAATGCATACAAACATTTCTGAATTTACAGAGAGTATATAAATATCTAAAAGTTATCATTTTATCATGTTAATGGTAGGACTAACAAAACAGATGTGCTTTTATGCTTGGGTAAAAATTAACACATTAAAAAATCCAGAATTTACAATAAAATTGGCTCACATTGGTTAACTTAATACCTCCTTACACTAATATTTGAAATAAGCAAATTTGTTTTTATAATGATGACAATGGATTAGTGTTTACATCTAGTGGAAAATATTACATGAATATCAGGATAGGAACATGTTTAATCAGGGATCACGTTACATCAGAATCATAGGGAGAAATTACTTCTTTATTTCAAATTGATTGGGAAATTGGTGAGACTTAAAAGAGAAGCACTTGATCGATTGAGGCTCTATGATGTTTGGCTCAGAATGATATATGTTGGCATTCTTGTCCTATTTACTTAATTCTATTTTGCATTGTTCAAATCATTTCTGAGAATACCATTACAGTAACAGTTGTCTCCGTTTATATTTTTAATTGTCATTTATATTTACACAATAATATTTTTCCACTTGCTACTGTCATAACCTACCAACAAAATATATACCACTTATTGCATAGTTAAAGGAAAAAAACAGAAAAAAGGAAAAGTAATTATCATTTATCAATTAAATTTCAATGAGGATGACTTGCTGTGTATGATATAAATTGTTTCTCATTAAAAAATATATAAACTTTTTCACTTTTGGGATCATTATTCTTATGTCAGCTGTGCCATTCATGACTCTGTATCTATTATCATAAAAGTACAGAATTTCTTCATAGTTAGTCCACCTCCAATCCATGGTTCTTATAAATTTTTCAAAGAAAAATTTAAAAAGAAAAATGAACAATCTTTGACAAGCGATTTGAAATGGAATATGACATTTTCAATGCAATAACTTTATCAAACATGATTTCAATCAAGCTCTAATGAAGTCACAAAATTATTTTAGCAAAAATCAGAATCTTTTGAGTGGGTCTCATTGGGGTCTAAGAGTGACCCGGGATTGCCGATTTTTTGTAAGCGTGACACGTGAAAGTCAAATTATTGTGCCGTGAAAACGGGAAATGATGTCTAGCGGGACACTGGAATTTACAAAAAAAATGAGAATTGCTTACGTACATAGTGTAAGCGGGATACGGGAATCTGACAAAACAGTAAGCGGGATCCGGGATCAGAACCCCCAATGAGACCCCCTTTTGACATACGCTCGAGTATAAACTATAGTGCAAGAAGTGAACGAAAAATTGTTTCTTTGTAATAATATACAATCAATCTACAAATTGTATGGTTTAAACAGCTTTTGGCAGTCGGAAAAATCAAAGTGGTGAATGGGAAGGCAACCCAGTGGCCAAGTAGTGTGAACCTTGTGTTAATGTGATATGAAAAATTAAACCCTGCTTTGTACTGTGTGCTTAGCAGAGAAGCAGAAATACAAATTTTCAAGTCTTTAGTTTGACACAGCACTTGATAAAACTCATGACTGCCCCAACTGGAGGTGAGCAATTATATTTTGAACAGGTAGGAGAGCAATATTGTTAACATGGTAATTTGTAAATTATGTGATTGAATGACAAATATTATAAAATTTTTCATGCTTGATTCAATATATTGCTTAAGTAGGTACTTACAAAGAAAACTTCTGCCATAATCTTGGATTCTGTACACTATAAACAGCTTTAACTTGACCTGACGACGCTTTTCTTAATCCTTTTTTATGGAATAATGAAAGAACAAAGTTGTATTCTGACTGACCAGTGTCAAGAGGTACTGCTCTAAAATCCTGTTATAATATAAAATAAAATTATGTGTCTCAACATGTAGGAGAAAGCAGGAATTAAATAATTTACCTAGACATTGCATATAATATATAGTTTCCAACACCATAACTTGTTCAATACAAAATGTTCTGCCTCTTAACATTATCAAGTAATGGTTACTACCTTAAACATTTTATTATTTACATAAGGATTTCCACCCTTCATCAACCGTGAAATTTTGTCAAAGTTCAATGCATGTCCATATATATGGAGTAAAGGTTTGGCCAGGATCCCTAACTATGATACATTACAGATATAAACAAATATGTTTAACCCCGCCGCATTTTTGAGCCTGTTCCAAGTTAGGAGCCTCTGGCCTTTGTTAGTCTTGTATGTTTTTTAATTTAAGTTCATTTATATGTTTTGGAGTTTAGTGTGACGTCCATTTTCACTGAACTAGTACACAATTTTATTTAGGAGCCAGCTGAGGACCACCTACGGGTGCGGGATTTTCTCACTGAGTTGAAGACCCATTGGTGGCCTTCGGCTGTTGTCTGCTCTTTGGTCGGGTTGTTGTCTCTTTGACAAATTCACCTTTTCCATTCTCAATTTTATTAGTATCCTCTAAGTTTATGATTATTTCCTATTATACTTTAACCATTAAAAGTAAAAGTTGTAATTAACAGAAAACTTGTAAATCCATATGTTAGATTGGTCAATGAAAACTAACCTTGCAAAATAATGCATATTTTTCACTTCACAGTTCTTACATAAGCACTCTTAATTATTTTATCTTTGGGTTGTGAATAAGAAGTCAAAGAAAATATCTTTTCTGTCTATATAAAACAAGCATAATTTTTGAGAGAAATAATTTTTAATTTCAAGGGTTCAAAATACTAGTATGCTTGGAGGACCAAATAAACATGAACTGCTATTGCTTATTTTTGAACTGTATAAATGTGTTACAATTCATAGTGGGAAACCATCGCATAACCAACTTTAAAAAAATAAACTCTATTTCAAGTAACAGTGACTTTGATCTGTTGAACCCCAAAACAAGAGGCTTCTTCCTCTCCCCTATATCTTCCATATGTATAAGTTTTATTCCAATCATGCAAGGAAAACCATCAGTAAATCATTTTTCCAAACTTTTTTCTTTTTTTAGTAACAGTAACCTTGACCTTTTACCTATTGAATCCAGAATTAATAAGCTTCTTCTCCTTCCCTATATCTCCCCCCTATATCAGTTTCATTCCTATCAAGCAAGGGATACTCAAGTTATCATCCATCATTGTATTGAACACATGGACAAAGAAATTCCCATATGCTCCAACAAATTTTTGGGGAGCATAATTACCTTACCAAATAGGAAATATTGATACCCGTACTGTTCAAAATATCACCAGATTTTTTCAAACAAAAAAGGAATTAAAATATGACTTTTTCTGCCAGAGGTTTGGGAATTTTTAAAAACACAAGTTTGAAATAAAGATCTGATCTGTACAGACTATATAAACCATACCTTGTATCCCTCTGGTAAAGTACACCATGTAGAAGTAATGTCCATGTCAGAGTTAGCCATAAATGTATTGAGGGTACAACCTCCATGATCTGAAGATTCCCATTTCTTACCACAGTATCTACATGTCGACTAAAAATATACAAAATGTATTTATCAAAACATCATTCATCTCACTGAGTAATCATGGTAATACAGCTGTCAGAGATCATTTATAATAAAATGCTGTTTCGTTTCAGTCATTTTGCTTTGATGCTAAAAATAACTTTTGACTGTTTGTTTCATTAGTTTTTCGTGTTGTTTGATTGTTTTAATTTGTTGTTCCACTAACTATCATATTTTGATTGCATTTTCTTTACTTATATTTTGTTCTTCTGGGTTGCATCTATTATTAAATTTAATAACTTTTCCTTACATTTCAGTATTCATATTTTTTTGTGGAATTTATTTTAAGATTTTTATCTCTTCACTGGAAAAAGTATTTGTGTATTGCATAATTTAACTGATGAATTGTGACATATAATTATAATTATCGTACTGATTTACACTGTGGACAATCAAATTTCTTCAAATCTCCTTCAATCACAACTTTATACTGGCAAAACGGACAGCTGCAAAGGAAAAAACAGAATTATGAAATAATTTCTAATATTACTATATTGTTGTTCTGGTATATGGGATATTCATCTTTTTAATTATGAAGATATATGTAGAGTTGCATACTTCTTTTTCATGTTAGAGATACAGAATATTCCATGGACTTTTTTTTCCAATCAGTTTTAAATCTGATTTCAAAGTTTTCATTTTCAAAATGATTAATGCAGAGGGAGTTAAAATCAAGGGTAAATACTAGGAAAGCTCCCTGAATAGCTAAATATGTAGTCTTAAAGGTTGTGTTTCATTTACCTGATTCATTATAACTCTACCTTTATTCATACAATTCATATAAATTATTTCAAAAAGATGCTATGTATATTTGTTCGTTGATGACCATGAATATAAAGATCAATAACAAAATCACATAGGAGTAGTTTCGATAAGGCCTTAAAATGGCCCCTATTTCTAGCTACAATTTAAAACTAGAATTTATTGACCAATATCACAATGAATCCTAGCTAATACAATGACTAGATAGGAAATTTGTCTTTTTGTTGAAAATTTACGTACTTGCGTTCTATTCATGACGTCACAAATAGCACTCATTTTGATTTTCCACGAAAATTCAATGAAAACAGGTAAATTTCCGTTGATTTTTTGGAAAGGAAACATAGAGCTCAAGTGTTGACAAAATAGATCTTTTAACATAATGTTTGTCATAACATTTTACATGTCTGAATTAAATATATAGTTTTTTTTTACGCCTGCACTCTATGTTTCGTAGGCCTTAATTTGAATAAAATCTGGCCAATTTTGTCAAAATTTTCAAAATCTCTATTGTTGGCCTATTTTGGATGTAAAAATCAATAAAACTTGGACAGAAAAGTTCTGTTCAACTTTCTAAAATGTCTTTTCATCAGCTTAGAATATTTTTTATCTTGAAACATTGAACTTAATATTGGGACCAAATATGGCCCTTATCGAACTTACTCCTTTCATCTTATTCTTAAGTCAACATGATAAATTCACGACCATCTTCACATAAATGGTCCCACTTAATAAATAACATGTAGAAAAATAAATTCTAAATCTGGATTTATTTCACCTCTACCTAGGTGCCTAGGCCATGACCAAGATGATCAACAACCATTGAATGTTGCTTTGCATTGGACCTGAAGAGCTTTCAGAAATCATGCCACAAACTAATTTAATATCATTTTTCGGTCTGATTTTCACCCAGAAAAACAACTTATGAGTTAATTCAATCACAAATTCTACACCCAATTCAGTATGACTTTAAATGAACTTCAATCAATATGTTTTTGTGAAAAGCGCTACAGTTGTTAATACGATGTGAACATTAGGTCCAAATGTATGTATTTCTGAGCATTGGTCACTATTCATTACATGAAAAAAATTCCGTAAATTATTTTACATATTACCTGTATAAGTCTGTCATTTTCTCTATAGTTTCACTTGCTTTTATGTTGATTTTATCTTCCAAAAGTTCAAATATCAGTGATGGCAGTACTTTCTTTGCTTGACCTGAAAAAAATAATGAAATTCTCAAGACATTTTGTTTGTTATCATTTATGATAAGCTATAACTGAAAATAGCTTAAGCAACAAAAAAGTTGTAATCCTGTATTTGTACGAGTTAAAACTCTCTATAGACTTTTATATGTAAGACAACGTTCTATCTTATTTTCCTTATTCCTCAAATGGATCATGTTAGAATCATTGAGTTCAATGGATCATTTTCCACTTCTCTGCTTAGCACACAGTATAAAGAAGTAAAAGAAGACATATTAGCTCAGGGTCAGAAAAATGTGTCATGCTGTGTGATGACATGTCTTCCTGAAGACTGTCTTTTTTTGTGAGATAGCATATGAAAAATTTACACTCATCATAATTAGTCTAGTACAAAATAGGGTATTCTCTTAGGGCTTTTCCATTAAATAAATGTGGGAAAGGATCTTCCATTTTGGACATTTTGGACATGGGTGGTGGGTAATTTTAAACAATAACCCTTCCAACGTTAAAATGTTATCATCCTTTTAATATGCATGTTATATTCATTGCTGGACATTCAGTAGTCATAATGCATCAATTAAGAAATCATATTTTATAAAATTTATTTTGTACTTCTAAATGTTTAATGTCTACAAATTAAGAGGTTTTCTTCATTTTGATAAAAAAAAAAATATGTCTTCTTCGCATTCTTTCACTATAGAACTTCTATCTTTCAAACACATTTTTCTATTATCATGATCATAAAAATTCAAACATTAAAATTCTGTTATTCTCCATGTATAAGATAAAATGGTTCAGTGTAATACCTTTGGACCATTTGATCGAAGTTTTCTAAAAAAGCTGCACACATTGAAAAGATAGAAAACAGAAAAACTTCACTTACACACTCCTTTCCAGATACAAGTTTTATGGTATTTCATGGAACCACAGTAATTCAATTTCATTGAATAGAGATACACAGTAAAGAATGAGATTGAACATGTTTAACTGGCAAAAAATATTAATTATATACAAATAGGAATACTGGCAGTATATTATTTGGACCTCTGAGGTTTGAACAATCCAAGTACACTTGTCTAATTTGTGCTTCCCCTGAGTATACATAAAATAACAATACATATACATATACAATTTGAGAGAATAACTTACTTTCAGGAATATAACTATTGCATTCAAAACACTCATTATAGCAGCATGTGATGTTGGTCTGGAAAAAAATATTTAATATTCATTAACTTAACCTTGAAAAATAAATTAAAAATGTACTTCTAATTTCTCTATAAAAAAAAATAATGAACATACAAATACAATTTTTACCAAGAATAATATAACCATGTGAGAGTGACAAATCCGAAACAGAATGGTTTTACCCTACAATAATTCTAAAAATTCATCTCAACTCAAAACTAACCTCTTCACTGCCATGTGACAGAACCTTCTTAACTACTTTCTCTACACAGTTGTTACAATTAAGATGACCATCACAGCACTGTACAATCTTATCACATGTCGTTAGTGACTGACAAGCTTCACACATCAATGTTGACGAGGATACCTCTTCTTTTGTACTATCAACTGGTTTAGAAATTGTTTCATTCTTTGTTGCAATGCTCTGAGGTTCTACATGAAGTTAAAAGAAAAGGAGTTAAATTAATGGGAGTTTCAGAATCATTTGAACCAAATCTTAGGTTATCATTTATGTTTGACATTAAATGATCATTTGTTGCAATAAAATTCCATTTTCCATTACCATACTGACAGTAACTTTTATGCTTGCAGGAAACCAAGTTCCACAGGGAAATCTAAAAGGCATTTCTATCTTTCTTGCTCTTTTTCAGTTTGAAAGAACGCACTATGATTCTTTTTCTTTTTTAGTGCCAAAGTACAGGTTAGGAATTCAAATTTATTGAAGAAAATGTGATTTTATCCATCAGGTAGAAATATTCAGTATATTTCGGGAATGATGTTCCCATATGTACATTTACACCATATTTTTTTTTCACTCAAGGTAACTCAGAACTCTACATCCAAAATAAATCTATAACTGCATTCAGCAATCTTTCAAAAGCATTGTTAAAGTTGTTATCACATGTATATATAGCATCTAAAAAATATCTTTAATCACTTTTTCTGATCATCTATTAGAGGGTTATTTTGTTCAAAAATAAAAAAATGAATTACCAATAATTGTTTAATACTGGAAATGAAATGAACTGGATAAAAATTCTGATATTTATTTTTTTCAAGTTCTCATCACCACTGAAAAGATTGGTAGTACTCTTTTCACATTATATTATATAAAATTTTACCTTTTCGTTGAGTAAAATTTTCTTGAACTTTAGGAACACAGTGTTGTAATGATGTCACTAACTCTTCATTACAAATGGAATAATGATTAATCAAGTCTGGCAAAGTACTGAATTTCTTGTCCCTAGATATAAACAACTGAAATACAAATAATTCAAACAATTGATGAAAAACAGTAAATATATGTAGATAAATGATGAAAATACACCATAGATTAAATAATGTATAATACAATAAAAATTTGAGCATCTACAGAGAAAGATTGAATGTCTTTTCATTCAATTTGTGAAAAAAATTGGTATTGTGTCATTATGTGGGGATGCTGTCTCATCGATGAAAATAATGACTATCAGTGAAAGAAAGCACATTGTGATATTTAATGAAATATATATGCATAGAATACAAGATTGTAAAATTTGTATTTCAAGAAAGCAGCGTTCTTTAATAAAATCTAATAACATCAAAATGTATGTTCAAGTTAATAAAATTACAAATTAACATATTTCATTCCTTTAATTTCCATATCTAAAAGGAGAATTTTATTTAATAAATGAGTGTATACTAAAAATCAAGGTTAAGGATATGAACAGAGACCTGCAGTTTCTTAAAGGACCTGTTATATCTGTGAAAATTATAATAGAATAGGCCGAGATTTCTGCAAAATAGCTTTGTGCACTGGCAGGATTTCCCAGAACATTTTGGATATTGTACAGAATGCAAATTTTCAAAACATTTTGTATAAACTATATAAAGTATTCTATACCCTAACAAACTTAACAAATAATACCTTTCCATTAGTATCCTGAAATATTTTGTAGTGTTGAACACTTCCCTCATACAAAACACCTATAATCTTTACACCTATATCTGTTTTACGTACAAGAAAGCTTCCATTTCTTCCACTACCATATCTGAGGAGATTTTCTGCTTCACAACGAGTTAAATAACCATGAAACCATGGAAACTGATCATAACTGTTGATTATTGAGAAGCTGGAACTATCATCTACAGCCTTACACCATTCTGGTTTATCATCAGTGACTGAAGAAGGTTTTCCTTCAACAAAAGTATGATTTATACATTTGTAACATTATATGGACAAAAACATAATGATGTTTACAAATCATTATTTGAACTCTGTAAATTTTTAAGTATATGTTTTGTGATAAACAGACAGACAGAGATTTTCATATACATATCCGGCCAAATTTCCCCAAAATAAACTTTCAAAAAGATGCATACTTTATGTGCCTGTCCCAAGCCTGGTACCTGAAGTCCAGTGGCTGTCTTAGTCTTCATGTTCCATCAGTCTTTTTTGTTTATTTCATTGAAAAAACAATGCATTTGTTAATCATGTTTATGAATATAAGTAAGGATGGACACTGGTAGAGTATGCCTCAATTTGAAATCAAAACAGCAACACAACAAAACAAAACATAAACAAAACATAAACACATACAGTCTTTGTTTTAAATCAGATCTGTGATTTTGTTAGTTGCTTTTCTGCTTTGTATAGATCTGATGAGTTAAGCCATTTTCAACTGGTTTATATAGTTTGTTCCTATGTCATACTGTTACACCATTGTCTCAGTTAAGGGATAGGGTTTGGGGCCAGCAAACTAGTTTAACCCCGCCACATTCTGTATGTGCCTGTCCCAAGTCAGGAGCCTGTAATTCAGTGGTTGATGTTTGTTGCTGTATATCATATTTGTTTTTTGTTCATTGTTTTGTATTTAAATCAGGCCGTTAGTTTTCTCGTTTGAATAGTTTTACATTTGTCATTTCAGGGCCTTTTATAGCTGACTATGCGGTATGGGTTCTGCTTATTGTTGAAGGCCATATGGTGACCTATAGTTGTTAACTTATATGTCATTTGGTCTCTGGTGGAGAGTTGTCTCACTGGCAATCATACCACATTTTCTTATCTTTATATTTAACAAAAGACATCTAGAGGTCAATATACAGTCTTTAACAAAAGACATCTAGAGGTCAACATACAGTCTTTAACAAAAGACATCTAGAGGTCAATATTCAGTCTTTAACAAAAGACATCTAGAGGTCAATATATAGTCTTTAACAAAAGACATCTAGAGGTCAACATACAGTCTTTTAACAAACAACAGGAGTCTAAAAAATATATGAAGTTCTAATTGGTCCAGTTTGTCTATTTTACTACTTTCTGACTTTTTATTTACCGATTTACCAACAATCTTTTACAGCTAAACTTGTGGTATAAACCAATTGTTAGAAGTTGCAAGAAGACCTGCAGAGAATTAGATAAATGTATCAATTTGTTTCTTCCTTTGTACTTTCATGGAAAGTCCCAATGGATCATACATCTTTTTGTTTTATAAGGAAAATTAAAATGAATTTTATTTTGTGTTGCAGGTGATTTTATTTTTGTTCTGAGGCTGTTGTTCCTGAAGTCGTGCATTTTTTTTTACTCTTAGGTGATCTGTTGTTTCCAATTTATATTGATTGCAGATCTTGTTGTGGGTTAACAGTTTTTCTCATGCCTGAATACCTCTAGGTAATTCCAAAAATAATCACTGAATTCTTTTAGCTGACCTGTGTCAAACAGTATATGTTAGCAATACAAAGCTTGGAACCAAATTTCAAGAGACTGTATAATAATGTACAATATATATTGATGCACAATTTTTAGTGTCAGGAGCATATACTTTAGTGGTTGACGTTGGTTGATGATTATCATATTTTGTTTTAACTTATTTTGTCATGAATCAGGCTGTAGTTTTTTCATTTCAATTGTTACACATTTTGTCATATTGAGGGTTTTTATATAGCTGACTATATGGTATTGGTTTTTCGTCATTTTTAAAGGCTGAAAGGTGACGTATAGTTGCTTAAATCTACATCATTTCAACTCTGGTGGATATTTGTCTTATTAGCAATCAAAACACATCTCCTTATTTTATATTTTAATAGTCACCATCAAAGCATAACCAAAGTTATATCACACATTTTAAATACAAAGGAACCTACCAATTTTTCTACTAAATACTGCGACAGGAGAAGGTTCTGACAACTCGCCAAATCTAGAACTTGCTCTTACTCTGAACTGGTAGTCCTGTTCTGGTTTCAGATTTGACACTACATAAACAGTACCCGCAATGTTCCTTGATAACGTTGTCCACTCTCTAGCAGGGGGAGCTTGTATTTCTACAACATATCTGATATGCATGTCACTTGATGGAAATGATGATGTATGTACATGTTTCCATCTAAGTTTGATTTTATTTGGTTCTGTCTCAATTACTTCAGGTCTTGCAACTGGAGATGCTGATAGTAAACCTGATATTATATAACAGATTTATTATTTAATTAATACAAATTGACAAAATGAATGAGGATAAGAAATTTTAAATCTGTTTAGTTATATTGATACTTCATTATGATTTGGTTTTTATATCCCTTAATTTGTAAATATTCTTGTGAATCTCATCTTTTTAATAAAATAGGCAAGTAAATGTATTTAAAACAAGATGAAGCTTGGTACCAAATATCAAGAATCTACTATTTGGAGTTGCTGAGAAAAGTGTGAAGATTATTTTGTATATGTGCATCAATGTGGGGAACACACTTGTTAGCTACAAACAAGAAGTACATAAGTGATGGATCTGAAAATGTGTTACACAGTATTGCTTACCAATAGAAGGCTTGTTACTGAATATCAAGAAGCTCTCATTTGTAGTTGCCAATAGAGAGATGGATGGAAATAGGGACATACAGACTGATGGATGGACAGAGAAAAACCAATATGCCACTACTTTGAAGCAGTATATACTCCCCCTCTTTTGAAGTTGTGGTATAATTATTTCAGTTTTCAAACTAAGGGAATATTTTATTTATTAGACTTGTACATGTTGTATGTTCTCTTTAAATTTTGTCTATTGACTTCAATTGTAAGCTGGTAATAAAACAATAACTCATATATATTGGTGACCATGACCAATTTATCAATGGTCACTATTGTTCTTGACAGAGGTGTATTTAGGAGGCAAGGCAGCCCAGTACCCTTCTTATGGAGCTTACTATATTTTTTTATTATCTAACAAAAGTTTAACTTTACAATAATTGCTATAATTCAAAACAAAGTGACACTTTCAAATAAAAGGTGCTTTTTAATAATTCTTAATTTGATATCTTTTTCTAATTTAAGTTAACATATATATATGAGGTACAAAACACTATTTTCAAATCCTAAAATTCCTTATTTGGTTTTTATATATCAGCCCTGATATCATAAAGAACTTGCCGTCATATGACCGTTCTACATCAAAATCCATATCAATATCCATGTCTTCTGTTTTGTGAACTACCTGAAAAATAGAAATGCTTTGAACATTCTACTCTATATATTGCTGTGATTATTACATATACTTTCATGATTACGCATTACTTCTAATCATAGATAACAGGAACCAATTTCATCAAGTTTGGGAAATTATGTTCGTCAATTGATTGATTATTTGTTGTTTGACCTTGTTTGAATACATGGGGAATGTAATTTGGCAAATAATTTTAAAAGTTCACAATGATCATGTGTACTAAGTTTCAAGTTGATCTGACCACAACTTCATGGTAAACTACCATAACAAAAAACTTAAACCTGAGAATGTACTGGTTTCACATTATCACATTTCCATGTTCAGTGAACCATGAAATTGGGGGTCATAAACGTAATTTGACATAAAATATAGAAAGTTCACATCATAATAAACATGTACATGTATATACTAAGTTTCAAGTTGATGTGACTACAACTTCATCATAAACTAACTATCTGACAAATAATTTTAACCTGATATATATACATGTAGCACAGAAGATCAGACATGACAGACAGGTTAACAAATGGACACACAGACCAGAAAACATAATGTCCCTCTACCATCGATTGTAGTGGGGCACAAAAAAAAACTTTTGAGAATTGATTGAGTATTACTGATATCACTTGTAATAATATAATTTCAGGAAACAAAGAACATTATGGGATGTAACACCAAACATTTTTGCTCTTAAAACTTGTACAACTAAATCCAGTTTGTCTAAAAACATATTAAAGAATTTCGAATCAAATTGACGTGTGTTCCTATGATAGAATATGAATGAGATTCATTTGTTATTGCTGGTTATTCACATGTTTGTTGAACAGAAATTTCTGTTTTTCATATTTAGGAAATCCCTTCAAAAACAATTTAAAAAGCATCCAAAAACAATTGGTTTGATATTCTAAATCATACCAACACAAATACATTCACAGAAAAGTAAACATCCTTACTCTTTTCAGTAAAGCTTTCCCTTTAGAACTATTGGACAGCTGGTTTTTGGCCTTATGTACAGGTTTATACTGTGTATTCTGAGGAATCTGTATCTTAGGATTGGCTATTGCTATCTGTATATCTTCACTTTGGTTTGTGGTGTTACCACATATACCTTCTACCACTCTCTCTATGAGTTCCTGTTCTGACATGGTACCATTATTCACTGCCTTTATCTTATCGCCAATTTGCCCAGCACCCAAATCTGGAAACATTTCTTTCTAAAAAATAAAACAAACTATGATCTCATTATACATGTTATATAATTATCTGTAGCACGATGTAAGTTCATTTTTCAGATTTAAATTTTCTGTTGATGTTTGAATAATCTCAGATTCTCCATTCAATAAAGAGCTGCGCCATGAGCGCATGATCCGCCCGTCGCTTTTTGAATGTATAAAGTTCCATTACTCCTCAATGTCATATCAGAAATTTATAAACAACTAAATTGAGCTTATTTTAATAGATATAAACCAGTCACCAAAGTTTAATGAAAACTGCTCAAAATTAAAGCATTTATGAGTTATTGTCAGAAAACTAGAAAATCCCCCCTTCTTTTATGAATGAAATCCCATAACTCGGAAACGTAAAATCTTAAATTTATAAAAATCGAAAGAGAAAAGAGAGATTAAATCAATAAATATAGACAATTCACTAAAGTTAAATGAAAATTGGTTAAAGCATTTTTGAGTTATTGTCCGACATGTTGATAATGGATGGACGGCCGGACAGACAACGGTATACCATACATGCCATAATACGCCAAGAACGGTAAAAGTGACACTACTCAAATTCGTACTGGATCCAAGTTTTGTAGTATTAAGCATTGTGTATAAGTTTCATAACATTTAGTTTAGGCAAACTTAAGTTAAAGAACGGAAACGAATATTTCAGCAATTTTTCCATTTGTAAAGGGCATAACTCTAGAAGGGTAAAAGTGACACCACCAAAATTCAAACTTGATCTGTGTTTTGTGGTAATCAGCATTGTGTATAAGATTCATAACATTTGGTTGAGGCAAACTTAAGTTAGAGAAAGGAAACATAAAATTCAGCAATTTTTCCATTAGTAAAGGGGCATAACTCTAGAAAGGTAAAGGTGACGCCACCATAATTCAACATACTTGATCTGTGTTTTGTGGTTATAAGCATTGTGTACACATGTTTAAGTTTCATAACATTTGGTTGAGGCAAACTAAAGTTAGAGAACGGAAACCAATTTCGGGACGTACGTACAGACGGACAAGGGTAAAACTTAATGCCCCCTCCACTACAGAGGGGGCATAAAAAAAAATCTTGTACAGTGTTAAAACCTTCAATCACTAGTTATTCCTCTGATTAACAAATAATTGATTGAACACCTCTAGGTGACTAAGGGGGCTACCTACATGTACCTCCAAAATTAGTCTACTACATTTGTGTACATGTATCATTGTATCTGTATCAGTAATTAAAGTAGACTTAAAATTGTGGTATGAATTTTGCTCATTGTTGAAGGCCAAACAGTGACCTATAGTTGCTTACTATTACACCATTAGGTTTCTGGTGGAGAGTTGTCTCATTGGCAATCATACCACATCTTCCTTTGTTTATGTTGTACAAATCTTGTCCCTAACCATGCTAACTGTTAGAGTGTACTGAAAGTTTTAAACATACCAAATGGATTGCAGCTTTGATAATAACTTCCTTTGTTGATTTATTCCCAACACTGTTATTGTCCTCTTTATGTACATTATCTAACGAACTGTCCATCTCATCCTTTGGTTTATTCTCTGTTGGTTTTATCTTTTTGGAAGGAGAAACATCATTAATAATTCCACCATCATCTTTCACAGGTTTTCTTTTTATCAGAGTTTTTGTTTTATTTTCTTCAGTAGGCCATTGTGACGTTCCCCTCACTTTATCCCTGTTTACAGAACTGCCTGTACCTGTACTTTTACTGATAATGTTCCGTTCCTTCGAAGAATTAGACTGCTCAAATGGAAATTTTTTAACATTACCTATTTCAGTCTTTTCTACATCACTCTCATCACTTATTACTTGTACATACTTTGAGGATAACAGCTTTTCTGTTTGTGACTCACTTGCACCAGGCGGTGATGCAGCAGCATTACAATTCTTTTTACCAAAATGTTCTTGAACTGTTGTACTTTTTTTCTTTGGCGAGATGCTACTGATACTGTCCTCTAACTCAATGTCGCTATAATCCTCTAACGATGAGCCATCAGGATCACTACATGTTGATATAGATATACATAAATCCTCATTTTTCACCGATGAAATTTTTGCCATAGGGTCTGGTAATGGCGATGAACTGACATCATATACATCTAAGTTTACTTTTGGTAAAATAATCACTCCAGGGTTTGCGAGAGGTGAGGAATTCTCTTCACACAAATCAAGAAAATCATCATCTTCATCTCTGTTATCTGCCATTTTCAGTCTCTTCACTTTCTGATTGTCATCTGCAATGGAAATACATTGTTATTGCAATACCTAAACAATATCATGAATATTGTAATCAAGTGTAATTATCTTACCAATATAAATACTTTATTACATAACTATCACCATTTGTAGCATGTTTTGTTAAATCAATTAATTACCAGCATGATGATTGTATAAATTAAACCAGTTTCCTTATTGAATTTTAATTGGAATAAAATGCTTCGCAAGGCACAGTTTGATACCACTGTAGAGGTTGAACCCTGAACAGTTGGGGCAAGTATTGACATAACATTCGAGCTTGATACAACTCTGAATTTGGATTGTGATTTAATATTTGACACAGCATAGGTTTCTGACACAGAATGAATGTGGTCTAAGAACTTAAAAATTTGAAATTGGACATTTACATATTATGGTCTAAAATCCAAAATCTAGTTACATGGTAAGAATCAGCATATCAAAGAGCCCCAAGAATTCAATTTTTGAATAAATCAAACAAAAAGTTTAATTTTGGACTCTTTGGACCTCAATGTGAACCAATTTGATAACAAGGCCCAAAATCCAAAATTTAAACACACAATTAAAATCAACATGCATGTATCAAAGAACCCCATACATCATGTACATGCCATATATATATATTCAACTTTTTTTTACCAGTAAATCAAAAAAAGTTTATTTTTTGAACCCGATTTGGACCAACTTGAAAACCCAAAATTAAAAATCTAAATACATGTTTAGATTCAGCATATCTAAGAACCCCAAGAATTCAATCATTGTTAAATTCAAACCAAGTTTAGTTTGGATCCTTTGGACCTTAAAGTTGACCAATTTGAAATCCGGGCCCAAAATTAAAAATCTAAATAGCCACTTAGACATGTTAGATTTGGCATATCAAAGAACCCCAATACATCAATTTTTGATGAATTAACAAAAAAGTTTAATAATGGACTTTTTGGACCTCAATCATTGTCAATGTGAACCAATTTGAAATCAGGCCCAAAATCCGAAATCTAAATGTACCCAGTTAGAATCAGCATATTAAAGAGCACAAAAAATTCGTATTAAAACTGGCATCCATCTATTTTATTTTTTATTTCTTTGTTCAAATGTATAGACAATGTGTGGAATTTTCTCGCTGTGTTGAAGACCCATTGGTGGCCTTTGGCTGTTTTCTGCTCTTTGGTCGGGTTGTTGTCTCTTTGACACATTCCCCATTTCCATTCTCAATACCCTCCTCATTAATTAATGAATACATACAAAAAATAAACCAAGTATCCTATTGAGTTTATATTTCCAAGGGACATAACTCCTGTAAAAATAACTTATTAGCACTGACTTTCTAACTCGTTGAAGACTTCGCTAAAAATAGCTTTGATATCAAATTAAAATTTCATAACCATGATAACAATTCTACAAGAAATGTTGGCTTGAAAGCTCTTATAACAATGGAAGTTTCAATTTTTTTTTTTATTTCCAAGGGGTATAACTACTGGTACTTTAAATATAGCTGAATGGCTCTGATTTTTTAATTTGTCCAAGTTTAATAGTTGCTGATATAAACCTTATATATATATACATAATTTCATATAAGTCTGGCAAGAATTGTACAAGTTAGTTAGCACATACAAAACCTGATATACCAACAGATCATGCAGATTGACAGATCGAAGGATAGACGCCTGATATCTATGTCCCCGAACTGTGTTGTGCTAGGACAATACCCTATCATGGGCTCATCATGCAGCACCTGCCTCACATAATGCCCTCAAGGCTCAACATGGCATAAATGGTTGGAGAGTCAATTTGGGTCACTTCACTATACAGTCAAGGATATAACTCTATAGGGTTATTAGAGAAAATATCTTGCATGTGTTATTACAGATACTTTTACGAGTTGTCTACTCTTTATTCCTTAAAGACCGGGTCTGACCTAAAACTTTTACCAGGTGGTAAGTGATTAAGCCAATATGGAAAAGAGGCGGAGCTTGCCAGTGTGTTATCATAATCTGTGTTAAAAATAGTTTGTTTATGTGCAGAGCACATGGCTTATCAATTAAGTGAGAAAGAGATTTATACTAACCATTCATTTAATGCAGTACTATTTGTTAAATCCAGACTGACAATAGGTATAAAATAAACACTTAAAATCATTCAGTTATTAAAAGTAAAAGTAGAAAACAAAATAAATTCAAAATTAAATGTGCAATTTTGATGATATAGTTATAAATATTTAAGAACTAATTCCTCCTGGTTCTTTTCCTTGAATATACAACATTTACAAAAGTTTTCCATATATTTCCTCGAAATTTAAATATTTTCTGTTTATAATTTTTCTTGCCTCTTACACTTCTAGGGGTTCTAGGATTTCGCGGATTTGAAATAGAAGTGAAGTCCCTGTCAACATTTTCATTCCATTGACAAACTGCGAAGTTTTAACGTGCATTGTACTGTTTGTCACCAAATGCAATTCACTTATCCTGATAAATATTTATAACGTTGTTGAAACTTTCAACATAAAATGTGTCTTTTCCTAAAACATAATCCTGAGGATATCTTAAAATGTTGGAATTTAAAAGTACTCCAAGTAACAGTTTTTCAGCCACTGGATCAGTCAAAACAATCCTTGATGGTTCATAATTTTTATCATATTTACATCTAGAGGAAGGATCACAAGATAAATGTCTGTTTTTGTAATGGTCAACTACATTCAGAATTGATGACTTTAATTTCTCTGGATCATTGTTACAATTTCTGATTGCCCAATGAATATGAGTTGATACAGGTTCCACTTTATCACTTAGTTGAAAGGACCACGTTTTTCTTTCAGATTTTGCTGTTCCCTATGCAACTTTTTTCAGAGCTGTTTTTACTGCTTTAACACAATGCCATGTATCGTTTTGATTAATTGCATCAGTTTCTTCAAGAATGTATTTGTTAATAGATAGATTCCTGTCATGGCAATGGACACCTACAGCAACCTCCTTTTCATTCAAATACGTATATACTCTTTCAGTACCGATACGTTCGTGTCTTTGAGACACAACATCGTCAGCTTTGGTTACATGTTGTCTAATGACAAGATAAAACTTTGTGTGTTTTCTCACCAATCGCAACAATACTTGCATCTTTAGCGTTTTTATGCCAGCCATGCCTTGTGTCAGTTAAAATATCTATTTCTCCAAATTTGTCATCATAATATGAGGCTGATTCTTCAAGCAAGGCTGTTGTTGTAGACTTGTGGTATTCTGTATGAATATGGTTTTCATATGAGTTGAAGAATTTATTTTGTTTTTCCTTATTAATTTTCCCGATTCCAGCACCATCTACAAACTTGGTATAATGTGATGGCAACATTCCACTCCAGATCAGACCATGTTGCACTCTGTTATTCACCAAGTATTCCTTGTTCTGCATGTATGGCAAAGAAGACCACAGAAAAGTGTGAGAGGATTCACATTTCATTCTTGCCATAATTACATGTTCTCTTGTTGTCCATTTCTCTATAATTAGGTTGTGTTTACAGTATCTGGAATGAGCTTCCACCACTTCTTTGTAACGTTTTAGCGAGTCCTCAACACACATGAATATTTTTTGATTAACATCTTTTTTCCTAGCTTTAACGTAGGTACTTGGTATTGGATCTGGTACATGTATAGATTGTTCATCAGATGCATTGCCTACTTCCTGACTAGACCACATCTCCAATAAAGTTTCTAAAACTTGCAAATTTCCTGTAGGTTTGTTTAACCTTTGAGTCAATATATTCCTAATTTCCAGTATTTTACCAAGAATTTCTGCCTTCTTTTCATCGCTTCCTGAAAACTCCATTCTGAAACTTTGGGTTCTTTTTCGGTTTTTTTGTGAACTAGCCATACTTTTGTCTTTATAGATTTATTTTAATATTGAAATGACCAAACAGTTGAGTTCCCATACAGATTATGGATGAGTTTATATTGTAAATTGGGTGAAAGGGGAGTGGAAGATAATATATATGACAAAAAACATAATTATAATCTGAAGATTATGTCTTTATTTTATTTTCATATTTTATTTCAAAGATATATGTATAAGAATTCTTTTTTTTCTTTAAGTATTAATGACTAATGACAAAAACAAATGATATAAAAGGATAGGATTACATTCTCCATCCTTATTTATAGATTCTCCATCCCTATTCATAGATTCTCCATCCCTATTTATAGATTCTCCATCCCTATTTATAGATTCTCCATCCCTATTTATAGATTGCACTTGTCCTGAAATATAATATTACACAAACATACACATAAGTAAACAGTTCCCGCCAAAATAGTGGAAATTCTTTGAGAGATAATTTATGATGCTGGGGTTTATCATTACTTGAGGTTCTTTCAGGATTTATTACCTCAGTAGAACAGCATGTAAACAAATAAATAAAAAAACTTGTTATTTAGAAAATATTATTTTATCTAGAACAGAATAAAAGACCAGTTACAAACATGAATTAGTACGTTTTACTTAAAATATATGATTTATTTCCCCCCAGTAGTTCCTTTTATTTTCAATTTCTCTTGGAGCATTTGGTTCACATTTTTGGAGGGCAAAGTTTCTGGTCATATCTATGCTATCAACTGAAAATGGACAACAGTGTAAATCAAGGAAAATCTATCTTGGCTCTTGAAGTTACAGAAGAACAAAAAGAAACTATTTATAATTTATTTGCTCACCATAACTGCATGGGATTATAAAGAAATTGAAATTAAAGAAAACAAAGATGAAAATAAAGAGACAAATAGGGCAGAAAATTCAGAAGATTTTGATGATTTTTTGATAGAGCAAAATGATAATTTTGAAGAATGTCAGTACTGTTTATGCAAACCGTGCATAACACATGAACATAACAGACAAATGTGGTGGGAGACTGAAATACAAATGGCACATATAAGAAATTCTTCCTTGAGAAAAACGGACTATAAACGTTTCTGGACAAATCTTTTCCATAGAAATGTATGGCAGGATCCTAGATATCTAGAAA